AATGCTTAGAAGTGCATGAAGAAAATCAGGAGCAAGAAACATTGTCTGACAGTTATGCTGCAATATCCCTGCAATTGGAAGAGAGTAGCCACAACTCAGGAGACATTCTACTAATTCTGGTGTCCCTTTTTAACATCCGTGATCCTTCAGCATGGCTCAAATTCATAGATGACAAAACAAGAATAATCTTAGAGAAATAGGGACCATTGCAAGTTAAAGGTAAAAGTTTTCCAAGGCACAACAGAAGAAGAAAATTATGTAAGAAAATTGAAAAATGGAGAAACTGTACAGCTACACTGGCTCATATGTTCTGGAAAAGTGGATGCAGTGTTGTGTTTTTGTTGCAAATTATTTGGTATTGGTTGCCATAGTCTCATCGGTGTGGTGGGTTTGGGGAATGGCAATATACCCACAAAACTCTCAGCCCTCATGAGAAAAGACATGTTCACATCCAAAATATGGTGAAGTGGAGCGAATTGGAACCAGGTCTTAAATCTGAATCTGCAATTGACCAGACTTCACAATCATTGCTCGAAATTGAGAGACAACACTTGTGAGGTATATTTGAAACAATTGTGGCCACTGCTCTTCACTTAGCTGAATGGACCCGACCTTTTCATGGGTCCATGGAAACACTTAACAAGTGTGGGAATTTAAACTGCATCGGCCAAGTTGAGTTATTGGCTAAATTTGATTCTGTGATGAAGGAACATGTTAAGTCAGTTCTTCACTGAAGAAGAAAGACACAATTACTTTAGCCCAACTATACAAAATTATGTCCTTTTGAAGTTATCTCAATAGGTAACGGGTAGAATTATTAACAACAAAAACAAGAGGAAGTATTACTCCATTATTTTGGATTCCACATCCGATATCGGTCACAAGAAACAAATGTCTGTCAATTTGAGATACGTTAAGATCCAAGAGACAGAAGTCATCACTGCAGAGCATTTCCTATCGTTTCTGAATAGGCAGGAAATTTCCAGACAGGCTTTGTCAAATGAGGTACTTCAAGAGCTATCCAGACGTGGTATGACATTTAATAATAGCAGGAGACAGAGATCTGATAATGGAGCTAACATGAGAGGACAGTATCAAGGTGTGCAAGCTTGTTTAATTCAAAAGAACAAAAAGGCATTTTTTGTTCCTTGCAGATGACATCCCTTAAATCTAGTGTTGAGTGACACAGCAAATTCCTCAAACTGGCCAAAACCTTTTTTCGGTGTTCTTCAACAAATGTACACTATATTTGCAGCTTCAACAAGTAAGTGGATGGTTTTGAAATCCTGTGTGACAATAACACTAAAGCTTCATTCAGAGACAAGATGGGAGAGCAAATTGGAAAGTGTCAAAGTCTGGCGGTTTCAGACACAGAGTGTGTGCAGTCAGCTCTGTTGAAATTGAGAGAAACAACAAGAGATAACAGCATGCAGTAGCTGGCTCACTGGCCGATGATCTCTCCTCATTTTGGTTCATCATCTCACTTGTGGGTTGGCACAACTTAAAATTAATATTGTAAGCAAAAAAAATGCAGAGCTTAGTGCTTGGTCTTGATGATGTCAGCAAATTAATTGAAGTTATTCAGACAAATACACAATTATCATGAAAATAGATTTGAAGAGACTTTGTTAATTGCTAAACAGATCACAAAATAAATGTCAGGGCCTGCGGAACTAGCTGAAACATGAGTTCGCAGAAAGAAGAAACTGTTCTGCAACAAAGCAGAGGTTCAAATCATTGGAGATGCAGAAAGGAGATTTAAATTTGATAACATAAGAACGGCCATACTCGGTCAGACCAAAGGTGCATCTAGCCCAGTGTCCTGTCTTCCAACAGTGGCCAATGCCAAGTGCTTCAGAGGGAATGAACAGAACAGGTAATAATCAAGTGATCCATCCCATCGCCCATTCCCAGCTTCTGGCAAACAGAGGCTAGGGACACCATCCCTGCCCATCCTGGCTAATAGCCATTAATGGACTTCATCAATATTGCTATGGACACTGCTCTCATGAAGCTGGCAGAACGTTCTGAATTATTGTGAGAGCACGTGAACATGTTTGGATTCCTGTGCAATGTGAAAAACATTGCAAACTTTTTTCCAACGAGTGAATTGGAAAATGCGTTCGGTAACCTGGAATGGGCTCTGATGTCAGTATCGTGCACGTAAACAGGTACGACCTGGCACATGAAGTCTGTGGATGCAGTTGAGACACTTCAATTCATTTTCAGGAGCAGTTTGTCCACACTGAACCCAAACGTGTATTGCTCTACAAGTGCTTCTCACAACTCCAGTCTCTGGTGCCTACAGAAAGAAATTGCTCAAAGCTTAAGTTAATAAAAACTTATTTGAGGTCTACCAAGTCTCAAGAACATTTGGTAGGACGGGCTGCAGTATCCATAGACAGTGACATTTGCAAGATACTGGACTTCGAGGGCGTGATAGAAGAATTTGTCAACAGAGCATTCCATTACTCAGCATAACCAAGGCAAGAAAGAACCCATTATACTTTTTTCAGTAGTTAGCCACTGACAAGAGGAAAATGCAACAGGCATTTTATTGATGTGTTTGTTTAGCTTCTAAGGTATTTGCAGCCAGTTACTAGTTGTGGATTTCTATAGGTCATTATTTGCATACTTTGATTAAATTGGGAATGGGCTATTACTAATGGAAAGCCAAGCCCCCCTGCCCACCCTCCCCCCCACACACATAAGCCCTCTCACAGTGGGCCTCTAGGTTTCTTGCTACAGCACTGATGGTGCAGGAAAGAGGAAGAACAGTCCGATGAGGCGGTGTCCTTTGCATAGTCAGGTGGCAATCCTACAGCCACGCCCTGCTCTAGCAGTTCTGCTTGTACTGTCCGTTTCTCAAGCAGGCTAGAATTTTCAGCAGCTCTGACACACTCTTGACCCTCAAACTGCTTCTGATTTCCTTTCGCTCGTTTCACAATTTGATTTCCGCCGGTGACGGGATCCCCAGGGTGTAACCTGGACTGTGGGACCACTGAGCCCTCTGTCCCACCAACCGGGGCTGTCCCTCTCACACTGTGATGCTGAGTCAAGCCACAAACCTCTGGCAGACCCTGCACTTACACAGACATCCCCAGGCAGGGGCACACCCAGCCGAGTTACGTGAATGATCTCCCAGCCACTCGTGAACCATCAATAGGGAGGCTCCAGCCAATTCCCCCTACCTCTCTAGTCTTGCACCCCAGGACTGTACCATCTTGCACTTGTCAGAAGCCAATTCCAAGCCAAACAGCAAGTATCTGGACTTGATAACCAGCCACCTTTACGAGCATCTCTGAGGCTCCCTGTAGAGCAAATAATTAAAGAGATGGGCGCTATAGTGACTGATACTAATAAATCACCCAAGGCTGTCTGTGTCCGCTCCAGAAACATAAATCACTCGTCTGTACATTATGGTGACGAGCATTCTCCCCCGATTGCTGGCACTTTGGATTTATTGGATGAAGTCGTTAGAAATGTATTAGGGAGAAAACTGAACTCATCAACCAAGTTAGCTTAATAGCTTAATTGTTCAGTTTGCGGTAAGTCCTGTGTTCTTTTCTCTTTGGGTTGGAAAGTGCATCAGTTTTAGTGAGGGTAAGAAAATCAGGGTAAGAAGAAACCCAGGAATCCTCGGTGACTAAACAAGAGGTGATAATGTCTCCAAACAGCGCCTGCTGGGATAATCCCATCATTAGAATTGGCCTGTGGGGAAGAGAGTGGTGCCCCTGTGGGGTCCTAATCTCTGAGTGAGCCTTAGATGGGTTGTAATTAGACTCAGGCAGGTGCGTTTGTCTCTCTGGTAATTGGCTTCATGTCAGTGAGGGGATCTTTGAGAAACAAAGCTATTGAGGGACTCTGCAGCTGGGCTAAGCCAGGGCCTGCCACAGACTTTTTGTGTGTTAATTTGGAAGGACAATTGTGAAGTCAAAAATTCAAACCATTTCTATCCCCCTTCCCTGGCCCTCCTGCCTAAACTAAGGACAAACCCAGCAAGCTTGTGAAATTCACTTTTCAGCAAAGTTCACTGTTCGACATGGGAGAAATGGGGAGAGAACTTCGTGTCTCACCCCAAAGTGAGTGAGAGAACTCACTGTCTCTCACCCCAAAGTGACTGTGGAATGGATGCCAAGCTTGGCCAACTCTGAAATAGGGCTGCACATTTGGCTTATGCAGGAACCTGTGGGCCCAAGCCACAAAGTCTGGTTCTGAGCCCCAAACACTGGGGACGTTCAGGGATGTTCAGAGCTTAGGTTTTTAGTCAGCCTGTTGCAGAGTCCAGGATCAGCTATGGAACTGGATCGAGATGTAACCTTCTCCCAAAGTTCCAGGGTTCATGTCCATGCATGGTGCAAGCCCTAATGTTTCATATCTTCATCAGTGATTTAGATAACGGCATACAGAGCACACTTATAAAGTTTGCGGCTGATACCAAGCTGGGAGGGGTTGCAAGTGCTTTGGAGGACAGGATTAAAATTCAAAATGATCTGGACAAACTGGACTGGCTGTCCCTAGCAGGGAGGGCTCACCTTGGGGTAGCTTTGCTCCTTATCAGTGGAGAGATCCCAGGGGGAATGTCCAGCCTGAAGGCTCTCTCGGAGTTGGAAGGATCTTTCCTTTCTCCTCTCTTCTGTGCATGCCATGATGAGTTCGCTGAAGACACCCAGCTCCATGAACCAGCTGGTCCAGTTGAGCAATTTACCTAGTGTCTGAATTAAACTGGGCTTGGCTGCGGCCTCGCTGGCTGAGGCTCAGTCCAGACAAGGCTGCTGTGATACTTGTAGATTGGGCGAGCAACTGCTAAAATTACCTGAGATGAATTCAGCCCCCCTTGGTAGAAGGACACCTGCCATTTGCTCCTCCGGTGTACAAACACCGGAACATACTAGATCCTTGGCTGCACCCGGATGTCCCAGCAGCAGCAGTGGCCAAGACGGCATTGCTCCGCTTGCACTTGACAAGCAACTTTTGGAATTAGGCTCTTGTTGTTGTTGTTATTGCTTATTATTTTCATTATCACCGTGTCTAGGGAAACCATCCAGGCCTTTGTCACATGGAGATTGAACTATTGCCATTGGAACTGGCTCCGCTACTCCTCAGGTGATTGGGAAGCATACACTGCTTGAAATTCTGCTCTCGGTTTCCCTAGCGTGAAGCTGGACCAACCCCATCGGAGTCCGTGGGGATATTCTGCGACTACAATGGTGTAATGGAGGGCAGAATCTGGGTTCATGCACAGATGGAGGAAATAATTTTGGTTGCTATTCAGGCTTGTCAGAAAGATACAGCGGCACAGAGAGCAGCTGCGTTTTCATTCATGACACATGAGAGTGGCCACACTGGGTCAGACCAAAGGTCCATATAGCCCAGTGTCCTGCCAGTGCCAGGTGCCCCAGAGGGAATGAACAGACCAGGGAATCACCAAGTGATCCATCCCCTGTCGCCCATTCCCAGCTTCTGGCAATCAGATGCTAGGGACACTATCCCTGCCCATCCTGGCTAATAGCCATTGATGGA